AAACAGGCTGTGCACCGAAGCAGTTTGTGGAAAGGAAAGGAAATTTGTGTATGTGTGTGTGGGGGGGGGGGGGGAATCAAGTGTTGCTTGGCAATTAAAATAAGTGGAATGAGGTATCTTTTAATTAACATTCTTCGAGTGGCAGGGAATGTTCCAATGTTGCCGCTTTAAGATTTCCTGCCTCATCTTGCGTCTTCTTGAGATTATATATTTCTAAAAATACATTAGGTGACAGTGTAACAGGCAGGAGAACGCATATCGTGGCTCCATACATATGGAAATCAGCTCTCTCCGGCGGTACCTGGAACAATGGTGGCAAATCTGTATCAAGGGAGACGGAACCTGCAAGGCTTTGCCTTTGTGTGGCCCGTGTGTGAGCCCAGACTTAATGAGCTTCAGCTAGAGGTGCCACTTTGAACAGATAAATGCCGGCCACCTCGGCTCTCCGGCCCACGGGCTGCCTGAAAAGGACATAAAAGGGGGCTGCTCGGGGGAGAGAGTTACCGTATACACTTGACACTGGATCAAAGCGCGTGCATTCGCGGCCCTGAAACGGAAGGGAAAGACGCCGAAAGGCTGTAGCTGTTACCAGTGGTTCCAGGGGGCTTCCTTCGAAGCCTTCTGGGGAAACGATTATGCCCTTCTGTCCCCAGGCATGCTTTAAAATGCACTTTCTAGGGGCGCCTGGGTGGCGCAGTCGGTTAAGCGTCCGACTTCAGCCAGGTCACGATCTCGGTCCGTGAGTTCGAGCCCCGCGTCGGGCTCTGGGCTGATGGCTCGGAGCCTGGAGCCTGTTTCCACTTCTGTGTCTCCCTCTCTCTCTGCCCCTCCCCCGTTCATGCTCTGTCTCTCTCTGTCCCAAAAATAAATAAACGTTGAAAAAAAAAATTAAAAAAAATAAATAAAATAAAAAAAATAAAATGCACTTTCTAGACAATGATCATGGGTTCTTCCGCGGAATTCAGAGGGTGTCCATGAAACACCCACTCACACTCTCCGGTGCAACCCAGCCAGCGGTGGGGAGCCAACAGGTGAAAAGGTACCCTCTCTCCACGCACCCACACCTCCACAGAGAACGCCTGGCCTAAGAACCCCACTCCCCGCTCCTCTACCTACATTCCAAGAAACGTGAAGTGCGGGTAAAATCTGAATCCTCAAAGCAGAAGACTCAAAAACAGAGGAACTAATCCAGTTTCCAGATGGCGAAGTCGCTCCGTGATGCCTTTTCACAGCCCGTCTTGTATCACAGGGTTCTATCTGCTTTTCTTATTGGACTCAGACACTTAAAAAGTCCCAATCCTATGGCTCTACTGGGTATCTTCTAGCCTTTCACTAAATTAGAGCATTAGACCTGATGATATACAATTGATTTTTAATTTTTTTTAATGTTTACTTATTCTTGAGACAGAGAGAGACAGAGCGTGAGTGGGGGAGGGTCAGAGAGAGAGGGAGACACAGAATCCAAAGCAGGCTCCAGGCTCTGAGCCATCAGCCCAGAGCCCGACGCGGGGCTCGAACTCACGGACCATGAGATCGTGACCTGAGCTGAAGTTGGACGCTTAACCGACTGAGCCACCCAGGCGCCCCTATTATTATTATTTTAAATGTTTACTATTAATTTTAGAGAGAGAGAGAGAGAGAGAGAGAGAGAACGAGCGGGGGAGGGGCAGAGAGAGAGGGAGACACAGAATCCGAAGCAGGGTCCAGCCTCCAGGCTCTGAGCCATCAGCACAGAGCCCGATGCGGGACTTGAACTCACCGACAGTGAGATCATGACCTGAGCTGAAGTTGGTCACTCAACCGACTGAGCCACCCAGGCGCCCCTATGATTAATTTTTAAGTGTATTTTTCCTGCATAGAACAAAGAGCTGGATTTTTTTTTTTTTTTTTTACATGTTATCACCATCAGGCCTGAACTTCCCATGAAAAAATCAGGTATTTTCCCCCCTAGGTATGGTAATGGTTTCTAGCAAAGAGCAATCTTTAAATCCCTGGAACCCTCCAAAAGGTTCACCAGGCAGCGAAAAGGTTTCTCTTTTTCCTTGGTACAAACACAGTTCATTAACTGCTGAGTCCTGGCGTCTGTGGGCCCACTCACAGTCACCTCCTTCGAAGCAGAGCAGAAATCACTTTCACTGATCAAGGAGAGGAGATTCCCGATCATTAAAGCAGTTTTCAAAGACAGCTAATCGGTAGAAATGGCCTCAGATGTGCAGCTAATCTCATCATTCAAATTTCCTGGTTGTCCTGTTTTCCTCTGCCCTGATAACACTTTATCAGACTGTAATGGAACTTCTCTGATCTGGAGTAGGGCATTGCAACAAAATATATACATACCTCTGATATCTTCCTTTTTGGAAAGCCAGGGAATTTAGTTGATACAGCAGCGAAATACAAAGCTCCGGTCCTGAGGTCTAGACTCAGTTTCAGCCACCAAATTATAACTCCGTGGGCTTAGTTTTGACAGTCGTATTAATCACAAATGACTGGAAATTGTTACTATCGTGGTCTTTCCTGAACTAAGTATGTTGAGCAAAAGAAAAAAATACAAATAGGAAGTGCTTTCAAGCAATCTGGAAAGTGCTTTTGAAACACCGTGTTAAAAATTAACTTTTAACATTGACTTTAAATTTATGTAATACCTCTGAGAAACTAGTACATGGAGGCAAAATTAATTCTTGGATTTTTCTTTTTATAAAAAATTAAAATAAAAATGTGTGTATTCTTAAGATCTCTTTTTTTTAAAGCAAAATATAGGCGAGAGAACTAAGAGAAAACTCACAAATGGTACGAGCACCTGACTACCAAAATGTTGAGACCAAGGCTGTATGAAAACAAAAAAAAGTTTTAAAAAAAATTAATAACCACTTTGGAAAAGAGTTTGGCAGTTTCTTAGAAAACTAAAAACACACTCTTGCCATACGATCCAGACTGTGTGCTCACTGGTACTTTCCAAAATGATTTGAAAGCTTGTGTTCACACAAAAACCTGACCGTGAATAGCAGCTTTATTCGTAATTGCCAAAACGTGGAAACAAGCAAGTGTCCTTCAGTACTTCGTGAATGGATAAACGAGCAATCCAGATAATGAAATATTATTTATCAAGACAAAGAAATGAGCTATCAAGCCTCAAAAAGGCATGAAGGAACCTTAAATGCATGTTGCTGTAGGAAACAAAACAAATCTGAAAAGGCTGTATGTTACCTGATCCCAACTGGACGGCATTCTGGGAATGGTCACACTGTGGGGGCAGAGAAAAGGAGTGTTTCCCAGGGTGCAGGGGGCAGGGTGAAGGGTGGATAGGTGAAATACGGAGCTCTTTAGGAAAGGGCAACAATTCTGTGCAAGGCTGAAATGGTGGGTACATGTAGCTATACATTTGTCTGAACCCCAATAATGTAAAACACAAAGCAGAACCCTTCTGTAAACTATGCACTTTGGGTTGTGAGGCTAGGTCAATATGGTCTCGTCGACTATATCAGATAAACCACGCTAATGCAAGATGTTACAAACAGAGGAAACTAACCCAAGTGGGGGAGAGCATGAGAGGGGATATACTGGAACTCTACTTCAGGGATATACTGGAACTCTACTTCCTGCTCCATTTTCCTGTAAAACCGAAACTGTGCTACAGATAGCCTATTAACTTAAAAAGATAAAAGTCCCCAAAATATACGCTCATAGCACAAAATGTCATTGAAATGAATGTTACTCCAGAAATATGCCTTTTAACAATGTAGCGTTTCTAAATATGTATTGTTCAGATTGGAGACAAAAGTCAGTACTAATGCTTTTCCTTCACCAATAAATTATTTACTTACTAGCATGGGGAGTTAATCATTGGCACCCCGAAACGTCTTTGTTTTTGTTACGTATAAAAGGGAAACATAGTCTCCATACCCCACTTGACTTCACCAGTATAACCCCAGCACAGTGAGACAGACGCCTTCCACTTGCCCCTACTAAATCTGTTCCACTTTGACAGCTTATTACGTTGTAGACACAACCTTACCAAGAATGCTCTTGACCCCATCATCTTATTCAATGATGGATTATCACCCCCCTCTCCAAGACCGACCTCTGGTCACCCTTAATCAGTGTTTCTGTCCCACACTGGCCAATCTGCCGGGAGGACGTTAACAACCACCTTAGAGCATGGATGTCCAGTGCCTTTCACACGGAGGGCGGGGCCTCAAAGCCTGACTCTTGGAACGCCATTCTTCCAACCCTCCACCCCAATACCCCCACCCCAGCCGGAAAGGAAACAGCTCCTACTTTCCGTTCGCCTCAGCGAAGCTCCAAGTAAGATTTCTTTTGGGGGGAAAAAAAAAATTCTGCTGCCAAAATGCTTTTCTGCAAAAGCCTCTTATATAGACCATATTATCTGCCTTTGTGTAATGAAATCAATTGAATTTCCTCTTAAATTGCTGTTGAAACTGCTCATTTGGCTAGTAAGGGAAATTGCCTCTTTAAGACAAAATGCACCGAGAACTGAAATTATATAGCTACCTAGTAAGAAACGTGGTGGAGGAATTGGGGCGAATCAAGGCAGTAGAGACTGACCTAGAAAAGACTGGGAGGTGGGGCCCGGGCTGCCACCGGTGGGCACAGCAAGAGGGTGGCCATCTGTGAACCCGGAAGACAGCTCTCCCCGGGGAGCACAGCCTCCATAACTGGGAGGGAAAGTGTCTGCTGCTTAAGCCCCCCAGTCTGTGGTATTCTGACGAGCAGTCCAAAGGGACCAAGACCCTCTGGGACCCTGAGGAAATGAAAATGTGTTGTTGAAACCCCCGCCCCCCTCTCCGGTCCTTGGCACTTTGTTCAGGCGACCCCAGCACACTGGCACAGCTTTCCGAAGGCTGATAGTTCTAGGTATCTTTGCACAGCTGTCCAAGATGGAGTAAGCCCCAGAAAAGAAAAACCCGGAGGCCCACAAGAAAAGGACTGTCCGCATCTACAGGGTTGCGGGGCCCAAGAGTCCACTAACAGTAAGTCAAAGAAGATGTTTTTAAGCAGCTCCCCCAGCTCTGGCCACCTGCACACCCCCGTGTCCACAGTTTGATTCCAGTGTGCAGCCTCTTCCCGGGCAAGACTGGGCTCCATGGGAAGGTCTAAAGAGACTGGAGAAAAGCAGCAGCAAAAAAAGTTACTTTTATTTGGATGAAGACGAAAGAACTCTAACACTTTCTTTTTTTTTTTTTTATTTATTTTTTTTATTTTCAACGTTTTTTATTTATTTTTGGTACAGAGAGAGACAGAGCATGAACGGGGGAGGGACAGAGAGAGAGAGGGAGACACAGAATCGGAAACAGGCTCCAGGCTCTGAGCCATCAGCCCAGAGCCCGACGTGGGGCTCGAACTCACGGACCGCAAGATCGTGACCTGGCTGAAGTCGGACGCTTAACCGACTGCGCCACCCAGGCGCCCCATAACACTTTCTAGGTGCCTTGTCTCTTCCGTGTTCCCAGCGACCCCCCACCCTACCCCCAGAACCAGACTGCCAAAAGAGAGCCATTTCGGAGACGGTAGAGGGAAGGACCTATAGCAGAAATGGGTGACAAGCTGTTAGAGAGAATTTAGAATGAAGTCAGAGAAAAGCTAAAGTTCTCCAGGAATCGGACTTCGGGTTAAAAGTCACAGAGACTTAGAAAACTATTAGGATTCTAATTAGGGTCTTTGAACATGATAAAAGCCCACTGAAAAAGGAGCATCAGGCAGGGTTCCAGCAACACAAGAGGAAGGTGTGGGTGAAACACATTGAATGGGGGAATTGTTTGGAAGGTGTGGGCTGGCTTACGGGTGACCTCCAGGGATGCCCAAACACCCTGGGGCCTACACAGTGCGGGAGGCCCCCACCCCAGGCCGGAAGAAAGGGGAGGCGATGGTGTCAGCAGAGCTGAGCAAGACCCCAATGTTAATGCTCCGGGGCAGGAGCTGGGGCCCTGGAGGGTGGGGCATCAGGACGGCAAAGGGAGGAAGTTCCTCCCCTCCTCGCCTCCCAAATCACACCGTGCTCCCACGCTAACCCCCACAGGGAGGCAGAGGGCAAGAGAGCCCTGTGCTTTGTCTATAGTGCTGACCCGCATGCACCCAGCAGGGACAGACAGGAGCCGGGAGAGCTGGGCAGGGGTGAGACAGGCAGGGCCAGCACGCCCGGCCTCATCCTGTTGGATGGTTTGGGCTCAAAGGTCCCAAACACCCTGACTTCATGCTGCTTAACCAATAAGGAAGATAGGCTTTCACAGACAAGGCTGCAAGACAGAACCAATGTTCTCAGATGCCCAACAAAATCCTGGGAAAACCACACTCTTTTCTCTCTCTGCTCACACGGCCTTGACCTCGGGCTAACTCAGCAGCCGCAGTGACTTGCCTAGGGGCAAAGTGGCTGGCTGTCTCTCCCTGCCCCTCCCCTCCCTTCCCCTGCCGGGCGCAGAAGATGTATTATCTCCAGCGAATGTGAAAACAATAATAAAACCAACTTAACGTCTGTTTTCAGTTATCACCGTGCAAAGCTAAACAATGTTGGCAATGAGAATGTTCCTCCCAGAAAGAAACCTTTTGTTGCCCAAGTTCTAAGCGATTACTGTAGCCACCCTTGAGTTTTAGTAAAACGTGTAAGCTTCAAATTAGCACATTTTATGACGCATCCTTTAACAAACAAAGGGTCCGAGAACCCCCCCAGTTATACAGTCCTGGTACGCAGAAAACAAGTACCACACAGAAGGTTCTGGAGTAACTTCCTAAGAATTTGGGACAGTTGGAGCTCACTGCAGAGGCAGCCCATATCCCCAGTCCCTGAGTTTCTAAATATTCCGGCATTTAAACGGGAGCTTTGGCATAAACCATGAGAACGAAAATGGTATAAATAACAGTTTGAGCTACTCCAGTCCTGTCATTCAACGTGAACACTTAGAGAGGGATAAAAACAGCGTTTGACACCTATAACCGCGAAGCGACATAAGCCCAGGATGTAGTATTTGTGTTTGATAAGTGCGGGCTTCAGTTCAGCCGTGAACAATTGCGCCTGGGTGGCTCAGTCCCTTAAGGATGTTCAGCATCAAACTCTTGATTTCGGCTCAGGTCATGATCTCCTATGCCCTATGCTGGGCAGCGCGGAGCCTGCTTGGGATTCTCTGTCTCCCTCTCTCTGCCCCTCCCCACTCTCAAAATAAATAAACATTAAAAAATGTATTTGAAAAATCATTCTAAATCTCATGTGCTCTTTGTTATTTGCAGACGTTGTTCTAAATGCCAAGTAGCTCCCGGTGTGGGCCTGGACTCGTGTTGGAGTAGAGATGACAGAGGCTATCACCCCACTTGGGCTTGGAAGTCAGCCTGGTTGTGGCCCCCAGGCCCCAGGGAGCGCGGCACAGGTGGGGAGACGGCGCCTTGTGCAAAGACAGAGGCTCCCAGGGTCCGGGACCCTGCTGCAGGCAGAGCTTTATGACACTGCAGGTACTGACATGAGTACAACGAAGCGGAGGGTCAGGGGAAGGGCACAAAGGACTGCTCTGGACCCACTGTGACACACCCCAGGAACCCCTTAGATTGGCTGTGAAACAGACACCGCAGGAACCCCTTAGATCGGCTGTGAAACAGACACCCCAGGAACCCCTTAGATCGGCTGTGAAACAGACACCCCAGGAACCCCTTAGATCTGCTGTGAAACAGACACCCACGAACCCCCTAGATTCCCTGTGAAACAGCCCAGGAAACCCCTAGAAACAGGGAATTGGGACTTTGGAAGGGAGCGGTCTGGGGCACTGTGCACCTCCGGGGGGGTACTAGTTTATGACCCCGAGTCCTGTCTGTGGGGTCTCATCGTATCCCCTGACTCAGGAACCTGTGACAAACACAGGTTACCGAATAAAGTGCCTACAGATTTTTACTATACATAAGGAACGAAAACTGTATGATTTCAACCGGGTGGCCCTAAGGCAGAAAACCTCCATCTTTGGGGGCACCTGAGTGGCTCAGTTGGTTGACCATCTGACTCCTGATTTGGGCTCAGATCATGATCCCCAGGTCGTAGGATGATCGAGCCCCGCATCGGGCTCTGCACTGACAGTGCGGATCCTACTTGGGATTCTCTCTCCCTCTCTGCCTCTCCCCTGCTCACCTGTGGGTTTTTTTCCTCTCTCGCTCTCTAAAAGAAAAAAGAAAAAAAGCCTCCGTCTTGTATCGTCACGAGCAGATTCGGGTTCAAACACTGAATGAGGCACACTACCACAGTGAATAGCAATGTGGTCACTGGGCAACTGTGAAATGATTAAATCCGTTTGAATCTAAAACAGAAGAAAGAAAGAGTTGAATTCTGGACAGTTTTTTGGAGTTTAGAAAAGTACTTTAAGTGCCTGTCTGAAATATATACCGTTTATTTGATATTTCTCCGTTCTTTTCTGGCATATCACTTTATCATCAAAGAAATGAATGTTTAGGAAATAAATCTGTGCACGTGTCCGTTAAAAACAGAATGCCTGGGGCGCCTGGGTGGTTCAGTCGGTTGAGCGTCCGACTTCAGCTCAGGTCACGATCTCACGGTTCGTGAGTTCGAGCCCCACGTCAGGCTCTGGGCTGATGGCTCAGAGCCTGGAGCCTGCTTCCGATTCTGTGTCTCCCTCTCTCTCTGCCCCTCCCCCATTCATGCTCTGTCTCTCTCTGTCTCAAAAAAATAAATAAACATTAAAAACAAAAAAACAAAAAAACAAAAAAAACAAAAACAAAAAAAAAACCAGAATGCCTGACCAAGAGTAACCTCAGTAAACAGACTCACTGCAGAAGTCAGTGGCCACTAGCCTTGACTCTACACTTGGGCGGCTGTCTGTCTAACTCCCTTGACCTTTGCTGATGACTGCAGCTTCAGAATCACAAGAAGGCTGCCGTGCCTCCAGCCGTCAAATCCAAACCGTGGAGAATGTAGGGTTTTCTTTTCTTGGGTTTCTACTGTTTACCAGAAAAGTATGGTTCTCCCTAGAAACTTACTGCTGCATCTCATTGGCCCAGAACTATGTTCCAAAACTCCTCCTGACTATGATGGAGATGAGAAGATTAAGTATTTCATTTTCCAGATGCTACCTGCCTTCTTTACTGAATTATAAAGTGCAAGAGACAACACAAAACAAAACCCAAATTCATTCCTGTGGTTTTTTTTTTTTTTTCTTTCTTTCATACCTGGGTAATGGACTTAATAGTTTCATCAGAAGAATCTAGAATAGTTCTGAACCATGAGATGACCCAAGAACTTTTATGATCTGACCCCTCAGGCTTTGAGACATGGTAGCTGAGGTGGGAGCCACAAAGCCTAGAGCTTGCGATGGGAGCTGATCCCTGGGAGTCTGTGGGATGTGCCAGATACCGTCCTGTCATCTGATGACAGACTGGCTGTTGGACGCCTATTTTAAGATTCTGGGTTACAGTTTTGTGATATACTAACTGGATGACATTTTGAGTCTCGGTTCTCAATCCCATAAATGAGGAAAACTAGACTATTCCTTTCCCTACAGAATATTAGGGGGTTCAAAAAAAATATTCCAAAAGGGTTGTGAACACCTGAAAACATCATAGCAAAGACAGGGATTATCATAACCTCCATGTTAAAATTAGTCCGAAAAGAAGAGTTTAAAAAAAAAAAAAAAAGGAACACATGGAGGTCTTTGGCTCACTGTCCTGGGGGCCTTCCTCAGTCCTTTCCAATCTTCTCCAAAACATCAGCCCCCAAATCCTCACGTTGGTCTGTAGAGGCGATGTCACTTTGTCCCCCTCGGGAGCCCAGCTCCCCATTCCCACCCAGCTCCCTCTCTCTGGCTGGCACCCACCCCCAGGGGCGTTTCATCTGCAAATGTCGTGTTGTTTTCATCAACAGACTCTGCATGCCTAGAAACAGTCCCCGCTTGGCTGCTGGGAGCTGCCTTTCGTGTCTGAACAGGTTTAGTGGCATGAATCAGTATTCGGTGCTTCCAAAAATATACACATCTATAGTAAGATAACTGTTCCTCCGTCAGAATATCATGAACATTAGGGGAGACAAATATACTGTCAGATGTAATGACATCCTCCTCCCAGGTCCCTCATAAAGAAGTATTGAGAACACATAATTGCCCTCAAAAGATGTCTATTTTATGATAATCATTACCTAAATATTACACACTAGAGATTTGTACTATTAAAGAGGGCTGAAATTACTCATGAAATATTAGCTGTGTTTTACTTAAGCTCTTTGGACCTAATTCATAAAAATTAATTCACGGTTTGTAAGAGTGATCTCTTATTCCTTAATAGAATACTTCTGTAATTCATTAAATTCCTTAATGCCATCATCCCTGATCACATACATTTCAATTCTAGTCTTCCAGTATGAAAAAAAGAAAAAAGAAAAAACCCGAACTTTCGGCAAGTCGAGGAAACATCAGAGTTTTCAAGCAGGACCCACCTCTCGGAAGATCATGAGAAACTTACAGAATATGGAGGGGGAGACAAAATGCAACAAAAGTCGACCCAGATATGTCTGGTTTTCAAACACATGTGTGACTATCTGGGAGTAAACCTACATTAAGAAAATGTTCATTTTGGAGGAACTGCTCTCAGAACAGACGGGTCCTCTCTGACAAGGGAAGCCCGATTTCTAAACTGTCAAAGCACATCCTAGATTTCCTGGAATTGCTTGGCCGTGAGATTTTCATTGTCCTTAAGCTGTTAACAACAAGGAGCTCTGGGTTGTGTGGGGAGACCGTGACCTGCACGCTTCTCAGCTTTGCCTAAGAGTCTCAGGGACGCCGTACCGTAAAACGTAATTTACGATTTCCCGCACGGACGATTCAGTAAGTATTGATTCACGTCATCTCCACCTCTGGGCTGTAACACCCATGAGGGCAAGCCGTTCCTCTGTCTTGTTGACTTTTGCATCCTTGGCCACGTGATAGAATTTCCATCAGTGTGTATATTTTTTTCCATCAATATTTTTAAATCAAAAGCTAACAGGGATGCCGGGGCGGCTCCGTCGGTTGAGCCTCTGACTTCAGCTCAGGTCATGATCTCACGGTTTGAGGGTTTGAGCCCCGTGTCGGGCTCTGTGCTGACAGCTCAGAGCCTGGAGGCTGCTTTGGATTCTGTGTCCCCCTCACTGTCCCTCCCCTGCTCATGCTCGTCTCTCTCTGTTGCTCAAAAGTGAATAAAGGTTAAAAAAAAATTTTTTTTTAAAAAGCTAACATATTTTACTAATTCTCTCTTGCCCAACAAGGAGAAATGACATCAATTCAAGTCACCATGCATTTGTTGATTTTCCACTAGAAATACTGATAAAGATGAAGAAAATAATCCCTTACATTTATATTATTCTTAAGAGTTTACTAACTTTGTGTGTGTCACGGAGTGTTGTGCTTACATTAACTCTACGGGGAATTAGGGTCCATTTTCTTCCAGTACTTTGTAAGTAAGGATACTGACATTCCAGGAAGGGACATAATGCAAAGCGACCCCACAGCGGGGTAAAAGGTGACAGGGCTGAACGTCAGCACGTGTAGACTCTGTATCTATCTGCCACTGTTTACAATGAACAAGTCACTTAATTTTGGTGTCTTCATTAGAGAAACGATTAGGAACACCATGACGTATTGTTCTCTAAAAAGTATTAGGAAGAAGATGAACAAGACCCTTTCTGGTTAAATCAGCCTCTGCTGAGAACACTGGTCCTAAGGGACGTGCAGAGAGACGCGTATATGGTGTCTCCAGGATGTTGCCTTCGGCCTCATGGAACAGAATCAGGTTGCAGAAGCACGAGGAAAGGGGGGCAGTTCTCTCACATGACACCAACCCGGGCTGGGCCAGCCACTGGCCGGGTGAGTCAGGCACTTTCCTGCCTCATCCTTCCAGGGAGGCCCTTGACCTTCACGGTCCAAGGTGATTACTCCGCTTCCCGGCCTCGGGACTCTGTTCCAGGCAGATGGGTGAAGGGCAAATTCTCTTGCTAGCTCTCGGTATTACCAAAAATTTTACTCAGAAGACTCCCACTTAAATCGCGTTGGCCAGAACGGGATCACATGTTCACCTCCGGCTAAAGCGAGTGTGGACTTGTAAGCGTGTTAGCCTCCTGGACGAGAGTGTGGTTTTCTTCCAAAGGAAGAAAGGTAGAACAGACATTGGCTGGGCATCAACAGTACCGATGCACGTGGCGGAGCGATTGAGGACAGAACGAGGACGGAATTTTTCCAATTATTTTGTGAATCCATACACTGGGGATCTCAGGGTAAGCGTGCGTGAGGGTTGAATTATATCCTCCCTCCCAAAGTCACATGTTGAAATCCTACCTCCCAGGACCTCACATTGTGACCTGTTTTGTTTTGTCAACAAGGCCATTGCCGGTGTAATTAGTTAAGATGAGGTGATTGGAATGGGTCATAATCTAATATGGCTGCTGTCCCTATAAAAAGGAGAAATTTGGACACAGACACCCATGGAGGGAGAACACCGTAGGACCATGAAGAGGGCCATCGACCAGCCAAAGAGAGAGGGCTCAAATGGATCGTTCCCCCACAGCCCTGAAAGGAAACCAACACTCCCGACCCCTTGATCTTACACTTCCAGCCCCTGGCACTCTTGAGACAATAAAGAAACTGTTGTTCGAGCCACCCAGTTTGTGGTAGTCTCTTACAGCAACCCTAGCAAGCTACAACAGGGTGACTACAGTAGATATGCTTTCCCATGTTTTTTGACCAGGAGGCACTTTTTCACAAAACACTTGAAAAAAAAATACTGTCCCGCAGAATGTAGTTTTTTTTCAATTCCATTGAAGTGGAGTCATTTCACCTAAAACCAGGGTGTCTGACATCCCACGGCACTTTGCTTTTGACCGTATCATGTACTGAGTGGTCCATAATAGAGTTTCAGTACGTGTGTTTCAGTGATTTTTCTCCAGGTTGGTACCATAAGGTCCTACCAAATAAAGATAATAATAGTGTCCATTACCTCTACGGTACTTTTCTGTATGTCAACCATTGGGCTTAGCGCTTTACAGACATTTTCTTTTCTAACCATCACGAAAGAACAATGAAGTAGGTACCACTACCTTTCCCAGTTTACGAATGTGAAAACTTAACATATAAACAGCCTCTTGACACTGAGTGTAGATTGTTGTTGATTCTTTTTTTTTTAATTTTTTTTTTCAATGTTTATTTATTTTTGGGACAGAGAGAGACAGAACATGAACGGGGGAGGGGCAGAGAGAGAGGGAGACACAGAATCGGAAACAGGCTCCAGGCTCCGAGCCATCAGCCCAGAGCCCGACGCGGGG